CCCAGCATCTCTCCATGTCATGAGCAAACAGGTTATATCACACTGCAAGGAGACAGAGCGCGAAAAGCACCTCTTTTGGGCCGCTCCAAGACCCCCAAAACACGGACGCAGCAGCTCCAGCATCTCACCCTGTCATGAGCAAACAGACTATATCACACTGCAAGGAGACAGAGCGCGAAAAGCACCTCTTTTGGGCCGCTCCAAGACCCCCAAAACACGGACGCAGCAGCCCCAGCATCTCACCCTGTCATGAGCAAACAGACTATATCACACTGCAAGGAGACAGAGCGCGAAAAGCACCTATTTTGGGCCGCTCCAAGACCCCCAGAACACGGACGCAGCAGCCCCAGCATCTCACCCTGTCATGAGCAAACAGACTATATCACACTGCAAGGAGACAGAGCGCGAAAAGCACCTCTTTTGGGCCGCTCCAAGACCCCCAAAACACGGACGCAGCAGCCCCAGCATCTCTCCATGTCATGAGCAAACAGGTTATATCACACTGCAAGGAGACAGAGCGCGAAAAGCACCTCTTTTGGGCCGCTCCAAGACCCCCAAAACACGGACGCAGCAGCCCCAGCATCTCTCCATGTCATGAGCAAACAGGTTATATCACACTGCAAGGAGACAGAGCGCGAAAAGCACCTCTTTTGGGCCGCTCCAAGACCCCCAAAACACGGACGCAGCAGCCCCAGCATCTCTCCATGTCATGAGCAAACAGGTTATATCACACTGCAAGGAGACAGAGCGCGAAAAGCACCTCTTTTGGGCCGCTCCAAGACCCCCAAAACACGGACGCAGCAGCTCCAGCATCTCACCCTGTCATGAGCAAACAGACTATATCACACTGCAAGGAGACAGAGCGCGAAAAGCACCTCTTTTGGGCCGCTCCAAGACCCCCAAAACACGGACGCAGCAGCCCCAGCATCTCACCCTGTCATGAGCAAACAGACTATATCACACTGCAAGGAGACAGAGCGCGAAAAGCACCTATTTTGGGCCGCTCCAAGACCCCCAGAACACGGACGCAGCAGCCCCAGCATCTCTCCCTGTCATGAGCAAACAGACTATATCACACTGCAAGGAGACAGAGCGCGAAAAGCACCTCTTTTGGGCCGCTCCAAGACCCCCAAAACACGGACGCAGCAGCCCCAGCATCTCTCCATGTCATGAGCAAACAGGTTATATCACACTGCAAGGAGACAGAGCGCGAAAAGCACCTCTTTTGGGCCGCTCCAAGACCCCCAAAACACGGACGCAGCAGCCCCAGCATCTCTCCATGTCATGAGCAAACAGGTTATATCACACTGCAAGGAGACAGAGCGCGAAAAGCACCTCTTTTGGGCCGCTCCAAGACCCCCAAAACACGGACGCAGCAGCCCCAGCATCTCTCCATGTCATGAGCAAACAGGTTATATCACACTGCAAGGAGACAGAGCGCGAAAAGCACCTCTTTTGGGCCGCTCCAAGACCCCCAAAACACGGACGCAGCAGCCCCAGCATCTCTCCATGTCATGAGCAAACAGGTTATATCACACTGCAAGGAGACAGAGCGCGAAAAGCACCTCTTTTGGGCCGCTCCAAGACCCCCAAAACACGGACGCAGCAGCTCCAGCATCTCACCCTGACATGCAACAGTCATATTGTAATAATAATAAAATAATAATAGTTTCTATAACTATTAAATATGCACCCATATTGACTTGGGTCACATATTATGAGATTATCAAGATAACCCTAACCCAGCATATCTCCCTGCCATGTAGGGGTGTGCACAGATCAATATGGAAGCCCACTCTCAATATTATTAATAATTACAAAATGATAATATATTTTATAACTATTAAATATGCACCCGTGTTGGACCGGGTGGCGTGTGCGGGCGGTTTGGGGTTTGGTGCCGGGGGTGGGGTTCGATCCCGGGTCTCCCGCGGCAGGGACCGACTCTCATTCCATTGCACCACAAGTGGCGCTAAAGCTTATTGAACAAAAGCATTATATATAGACTCCACTATAAAGTAAAAAGACATTTCTCTATTGTTTTGGCGATCAAAATTGACAAACAAACACATCAAATCACATCTACAGATGAAGACGAAGTCAATGGACCTACTCCGAGACTCCTAGCATGTGAACATCGAGACGAGAGATCTCTCTCCCTCCGTTTCTCAACAGTGAAGTCACTTTCAGCTTCACTTTAACAACGTGGTAAAAGTAACAATTTCAATGAGCAAAATAAATAAATTCATTATTATAATAGAATACACTACAGATCCATCCTCCATCTCTCAATTCAACATAATTCATTCACACTGCCGAGGCTGGTTTCGAACACAGGTCGCTTGATCGGATCAAAAAGCTTGATAGCTGTATAGTCTTTTATAAACATTCCGAACGGCACATTTCCCTGCGTTTTCCACCATCAAAATGGACAAACGATGCATCGATAGACATCTACAGATCAAGACGAAGCTAACGGAAGTACTCCCAGACTTCTAGCGTGTGAAAAACGTGTGCAAAGTATCCCCAAACGGAGCAGTAGATGTGATGCTAGCTTTGCTGCTAGCGGTTAGCATTTACAGGCAACACATGTACCGGGGCCAGAGTGCACATGGAGCGGGGAGATATTCCTCAATGAAGTGAGGCAGCCGTTTTTTTTCCAAACCGATTTCCGGTTTCCGATTTCGCGCAGACAGTAGTCTTTTACACCATCAAAATGGACAAACGATGCACCGATAGACATCTACAGATCAAGACGAAGCTAACGGAAGTACTCCCAGACTTCTAGCGTGTGAAAAACGTGTGCAAAGTATCCCCAAACGGAGCAGTAGATGTGATGCTAGCTTTGCTGCTAGCGGTTAGCATTTACAGGCAACACATGTACCGGGGCCAGAGTGCACATGGAGCGGGGAGATATTCCTCAATGAAGTGAGGCAGCCGTTTTTTTTCCGAGTCCTTTCAAAAACCGATTTCCGGTTTCCGATTTCGCGCAGACAGTAGTCTTTTCCACCATCAAAATGGACAAACGATGCATCTATAGACATCTACAGATCAAGACGAAGTGAACGGAAGTACTCCCGGACTTCTAGCGTGTGAAAAACGTGTGCAAAGTATCCCCAAACGGAGCAGTAGCTGTGATGTTAGCTTTGCTGCTAGCGGTTAGCATTTACAGGCAACACATGTACCGGGGCCAGAGTGCACATGGAGCGGGGAGATATTCCTCAATGAAGTGAGGCAGAACGGAGCTGTGATGCTAGCTTTGCTGCTAGTGGTTAGCATAATACTAGGATTTCACACATTCACTGTTCACCCTGACATATAATGTAACCCATTTTCCCTCTCTTAATTCAACACAATTGTTTTATATTTAATAATTCCAAAATAAATAAACCTATAATAATTAACCTGAAAGTAAAGATCCTTTCTCCCTAACTAATTTTAAATAATTTTCGCATTTTCATTAAAACTGCTTAGGCGGGTATCGTACCCGGGTCTCCCGCAGCAAAGTCCAACGCTTATCTCAGTGTGACACAGGGCCGCTAAGAGATTACTGAGAAAAACGTCTAATATATAGAGATATATTTCTCAGTATGTATATCAACGGAACATTATCTTTCCCGCCATCAAAATGTACAAACGACACATCAAATCACATCTACAGACCAAGACGAAGCGAATGGATATACTTTCAAATGTTTGTGAAAGTGTAAAGTATCCTAAACGGAGCATATTTCCACTTGGGTTATTGATTAGTAGTTAACAGTTAATAACTATGCTATTACACTTTTGGTTTGACTTTAAGAACACGTGGTTAGCCACCATTTTAGAGGAGGAGTCACAGATGATATAAATATAAGTGACATGTGCTCAATAATTCTTTCTTCACCGGACAACCTTGGAGAGAGCTGCTTTTAATTGTCGCAATTATGGTCAGCCAATGTCCTATTTGTTTGAGAGAGTACACGGCGTTGGCCCAACACTTACGGGTCACACACACAGTGCTGAACAAGGAGGAAAGGGCACATTTAGTTATGTTGGCTAGTGGGAGACTCAACGTGAGGACTGAGCCGTGCCCTGTCCCCTCCTGTGGTCTTCCGAAGGGTAGCCGCCTGGACCGGCACCTGAATAGCCACACGGAGCTCTCCTCCGCAGCCAAAACTAAGCTGCTCATTGGCCTTAAGAGGCGATTAATGTTGGCCACTTTGGGGAGACTGAGGGCAACTCATCCATCGGTGGCAATGGTGTCCAGACTGGACCTGGCGGAAGGTATTGTCATAATACTTTTTATTCCTGAATGTGTACACAGTATTGACTATGTGTCCAACAATCTATATGGCTTTGGATAAAAGCGTCTAACATGTAATGTACTGAACTGTATTATATAAGTGGATGGATGTGTGTATGTGTGCATTAGAGGTCGCGTTTACTGAATTTTTTTTTAACAATGACGGACAAATCTGAAAGCACATTTTGACTGATTAGAACAAACTCGGAACAGCACCAAAGTTCCCGCAGCGAGGCTCCGGTGTTATGCCGTGTTATGCATGCCCTCCAAAAAGGAAATTATACCTTTTCCAAACCTAACTGTGCCGTACAAATCAAATCAACACTAGATGTGGCACTGTTTATGTTGCTAATGCTGTTGTTGTTGTTGTTGTAAATGTCATTTTTTGTTTTAATTTTGTCTTACATGACTATGCACTGCAACATTTGTTTTGTAATTACTTATTTTACTTGTTCGAAATAAATGTATCAATCAATAATTGTATTTATGAATTTATACTTCTATTTATCAATTTATTCTTGGATTTATCCATTTCATTCTTTAATTATTGAAACTTTTATTTTGTATTTTATTTATGCATTTATTTATTGATAATTGAGTCATATTTCGTATTCCATATGCATGAGTTATACAATATTAAGTAATAACAATGTAATATGCCATAACTTTTCAGGCCTGAAAGAGGAATCAGAGGAGGAGGAGGAGAAGGAGGAGAAGGAAGAGGGGAAGGAAGAGGAGGAAGGCCAGATTAAAAAACTGCAGGCCGAGGTGGCCAATTTAAAAAAGACTATTGTGATCTTAAATAAGACCCTCGACCTCAACCAGGGCTACAACCGGACACTAAAAAAAAAATACGTAGCGCTGGTCAGAAAGAATGTGAGGGCTGCAAAACACACCGTAATGTTTGGCTCCTCAGAGCAGCTTGAAGAGACATCGGAAGTCCCCCCCCAGACATCGGAAGCCCCCCCCCAGACATCGGAAGCCCCCCCCCAGACATCGGAAGCAGGCCCCTCCTCTCCTTCATTCCGGCCGACATCATTCCCGGACCATGTCGCCGTCCTCAGTGAGTACATCTCTCCCAACGTATGGTAGAATAAATGCCATGATCCTTATAGAGATAATTGTTTGTGTTAGTCGTCTTGTAACAGATTGTTTCCCTATCTTTTTTTCAGATATGTTATTGGAGGACTTCAAAGAGCTGCAAGAGGGACCTGAACCAGCCCCAAAGCTCATAAATAATGTGCAATCAAAGCTGCACAGAATCCGGCAGTTTGTCGGCTGGATGAGCCAAGGAAATACGAACCTGGGGAAACTATTGTTCCTGGGCAATATTGGCCGTCTTCGGGGGTACGTGACTCAATTATTTTTAGCTCAATTGTTGTCCCATGTGTACACACACACACACACACACACACACACACACAGAGGTCAATATCACAATTGACACTAAATATTGATTTAATTGATGGTAATAAAAGGTGCAAACTACACAGTACAATATTATTGCTGTTGCATAAAAAAAGAATATAACAGGAGGGTTAATGATTATCTTTGCGCTTATGTCTTTGTATTGTAGATGGGTGAAGTCTCTGAGAACGAACAAGATGTCTCTGACAACGACATTACACTACCTAAAAAACGTCAGACAGTTTGTAGTGTTCATTCAAGAGACTCCACCTCCTTCCTCGTGCCTCAGCAAGACAAATCTGAAGAGGGTCGTAAGGGAGCTGAAGGCCTCCATCAAGTCCTGGGTGCGCCCGGTGGTCCTCCATCAGATGAGGGTGAAGGGGAAGAAGGATGCCACCATGCACTCCATGAAGGAGCTCCAGGAGTGCCGCCGATTGGCACTAGTGGCCATCCCCAAACTCCTATGTACGTTATAAAACATTTGTTATAATTAACAGGGTGATGTAGCAATTCAAATAAATGGATGAAAGAATACATATTTTATTTCCCTTGTCATTGCAGCTCAACTGGAAAAGCACCACACCTACTTGGACCAGTGTAGCCTCTTCGGGTACGTCACTGCCTACCTGGCCTCACTGTACGGTCACCGGCTTGGAGTGTTCCTAAACATGACTGATGAGCAGGTCAGCCAGGCGGTGTACGAACCCGAGGGCAATGACTACCTCATCAAAGTAAACACTTGATTTCTACTATTTTTTTCAAAGTATATTCAAGGCACATTCCTTGTATGTGTAAACTTAATTGTGATTCTGATTCGGAATAGGTGGAAGACCATAAAACAAATGAGAGCTTCGGCACAGCCAAGCTGCTGCTCAGCGACAAGGAATACGGCTGGTTCCTGGCAATCATCCGCCTAAAAAGGAAGTGGGCGAAAGGTGTTAAACTGTCAAAGTATGTCTTTCACAACACAACCTTCTCGGCGGACAAGAACCTGACTAAATATGTGAAGCGCGCCTGGTCGGACATGAAGTTGAGGGGCGAAGCGACCTTCACCACTCTGAGGACCGCGGTGGCGACCTTTGTAAGTGAAATTACACTAATGTAATACTGTAACTGATCTACTGTGCTCACTTTTACCTCACCCAAACTTTGCATTCTGCTCTTTTGTCTTTTATGCCTTTGTCTGCTTCAGGCCAGAGACAGACACGGGGAACACTCCCAGGAACGTAAAACTTTGGCGCGCCTTATGTGCCACGACACGGCTACGTCCGACAAGTTTTATACCATGGACCTGACCATGGAGCAGGCCAGGAGGGGTCGCCTGTTATTTGAACAGGCACAGAAGGAGGGAGAGGAGAGTGTGACCGGGACAAAGAAGGAGGAAGAAGTTGAGGAGGGAGAGGAGGATCAAGATGAGGAGATGGAGGAGGAGGAGGAGGGTGACAGTGACAAGAAGGAGGAGGAGACAGCGGAGGTAGCAACCTCCAGCAAGAAAAAGTGCACCCCAAGTGTGACCAGGAGCCGGTCTCAGGTAGTCAAAATGTCTGATTTTATTTGAGATTTAAAAACTGTTAAAATAGCACACTATGACAATGTATGAATCCCAACGTGACAAGTTCATTAAAAATTGCTTTTTATTTTGTGTCCCAACAGAAAAGCTGCAGGGTGATGTTGTTCCCGTTGAGCCCTCATAAAGCCCTTAGGATGAGCCCTCAGAAAGCCCTTAGGATGAGCCCCGAGAAACTCACCCATATAATCCGAGTCCGGCGAAATCGGATGGTTGAACGGAGGAGAAAGTAGTTGTTTTTGAAAATGGAGTAGTTCAATGTTCTGTGTTTTTATGTGTATTTTACTGTTTTTTATATTGTGAAATGTTCCAAATGTTATATTGTGAAATGTTCCAAATGTTATATTGTGAAATGTTCCAAATGTTATATTGTCAAATGTTCCAAATGTTATATTGTGAAATGTTCCAAATGTTATATTGTGAAATGTTCTAAATGTTATATTGTGAAATGTTCCAAATGTTATATTGTGAAATGTTCCAAATGTATTGAGTAAAAAAAAGGTTTTAAATGATTCAAAGAAGTTTTCTGGTCATTTCTTTAGAGTTCTGCTAAGTCCTGGAGACTTCATTTACACACTACAAAGCTTAATAATAATAATACATTTCATTTATATAGCGCTTTTCACAACTCAAAGACGCTTAGACTGATACCACGCATATAATAAATATTAATGTACAATTTTTTAATTAAGAGACTAGGTTTTTTCTTTTTATTTAGTCAAATCTAAATGTTGGATTTTAAGTATGATAACTCAATGACTGTCCACCGTGACAATACTTACTCTATGCCTTATGCCTATTTAAATTCACACTGCCGAGGCTGGTCCGAACCCCAACCTCCTGCATGAAGTAGCTAATCTTATCACACTGCGACACCCTGTCCCTTATAGCTCATAGAGGTATCCCCAAACGGAGCAGTGGTTGTGATGCTAGCTTTGCTGCTAGCGGTTAGCATTTACAGGCAACACATGTACCGGGGCCAGAGTGCACATGGAGCGGGGAGATATTCCTCAATGAAGTGAGGCAGCCGTTTTTTTTCCGAGTCCTTTCAAAAACCGATTTCCGGTTTCCGATTTCGCGCAGACAGTAGTCTTTTACACCATCAAAATGGACAAACGATGCATCGATAGACATCTACAGATCAAGACGAAGTGAACGGAAGTACTCCCGGACTTCTAGCGTGTGAAAAACGTGTGCAAAGTATCCCCAAACGGAGCAGTAGCTGTGATGTTAGCTTTGCTGCTAGCGGTTAGCATTTACAGGCAACACATGTACCGGGGCCAGAGTGCACATGGAGCGGGGAGATATTCCTCAATGAAGTGAGGCAGAACGGAGCTGTGATGCTAGCTTTGCTGCTAGTGGTTAGCATAATACTAGGATTTCACACATTCACTGTTCACCCTGACATATAATGTAACCCATTTTCCCTCTTAATTCAACACAATTGTTTTATATTTAATAATTCCAAAATAAATAAACCTATAATAATTAACCTAAAAGTAAAGCTCCTTTCTCCCTAACTAATTTTAAATAATTTTCGCATTTTCATTAAAACTGCTTAGGCGGGTATCGTACCCGGGTCTCCCGCAGCAAAGTCCAACGCTTATCTCAGTGCGACACAGGGCCGCTAAGAGACTACTGAGAAAAACGTCTAATATATAGAGATATATTTCTCAGTATGTATATCAACGGAACATTATCTTTTCCGCCATCAAAATGTACAAACGACACATCAAATCACATCTACAGACCAAGACGTAGCGAATGGAAGTACTCCCAGCGTGTGAAAAACAACTATAACTATACAATAATCAACTTCAAATATGTCTGAGAAGACAACTTTCCACATATAATTCTCTCTTGACTAAATGTAAAAAATGTTGCATGCATGCCACAGCATGGATTCGAACACGCGATCAATGAGCAACCCTTATATCACTGCAACTGCACTGCTTAGAATCTGACAGGCTCGTGGTGGGGGAGGGGAATAAAATGAAATGGCTCTTAGTACTGTACACGGTCACATTTTGCAAGCGGGTTCCACACAAGTGCAACAACATACTCTCAAAGGCTCAGAGTGCCAAGCACATTTTTTGAATTTTTTTCATTTTCTTCCCCTCTGCCACCACAAGCCTGTCAGATTCTTAGCTCCAGACAGCATTATGTGATAAAGTTTGACATTTTATTGAAAAAAAGTTCTGGGTGGGTGAAGGTTCCCATATTTCAGATTATTGATATATGCCCTATTTAGAGGCCCCCTGTGAAAAAATTATCTCTTTAGCCCTTTTCAAAGTACTTCAAACACTCAGCTTCTCAAAAGACCTTAACGGAAGGTTTTGTTACATTTTAAGCCATAACCTTTCACATTTTGTTGCACCTGAGGCATGAATCTGCATCTGCTCTCCGAGACGGTTAAAATGACATCAAGCTCAAAGCAGTCGGACCTTCCTTTGTGCCGTCAAGGGTACTGTCTGCATTGCGAATGTGACCTCTGACCTCCGTTTTGACCTTGTCGAAGGTCGCAGGGTCCCCATATTTTGCAAGGGGGTTCCACAGACGTTAAGCAACACACTCTGAAAGTTTCAGAACGCCAACTACATTTTTCAATTTTTTTCATTTTCTGCCCCTCCCCCACCACAAGCCTGTCAGATGCTAAACTGCATTGTGTGAGAAAGGTTGTCATTTTATCAAAAAAAAGTTCTGTGTGGGTCAGGTTTCCCATATTTCAGATTCCTGATCTAGGCCCTATTTAGAGTCCCCCTGTCAAAAAATTATCTCTTTAGCCCTTTTCAAAGTACTTTAAACACTCATGCAGCACTACAGCATCTCAAAAGGCCTTAACGGAAGGTTTTGTTACATTTTAAGCCGTAACGTTTGACATTAGGAGCAGCAGAGGCATCAATCTGCATGTACTTTTCAAGCCGGTTCTAATGAGAGCAAGCTCAAAGCGGTCGGACCTTCCTTTGTGCCGTAAAGGGCACCGTGAAGCATGAAAATGTGACCTCTGACCACAGTTTTGACCTTGTTGAAGGTCGCAGGGTCCCCATATTTTGCAAGCGGGTTCCACAGACGTTAAGCAACACACTCTGAAAGTTTCAGAACGCCAACTACATTTTTTCAATTTTTTTCATTTTCTGCCCCTCCCCCACCACAAGCCTGTCAGATGCTAAGCTGCATTGTGTGAGAAAGTTTGTCATTTTATCAAAAAAAAGTTCTGTGTGGGTCAGGTTTCCCATATTTCAGATTCCTGATCTAGGCCCTATTTAGAGTCCCCCTGTCAAAAAATTATCTCTTTAGCCCTTTTCAAAGTACTTTAAACACTCATGCAGCACTACAGCATCTCAAAAGGCCTTAACGGAAGGTTTTGTTACATTTTAAGCCATAACCTTTCACATTTTGTTGCACCAGAGGCATGAATCTGCATCTGCTCTCCGAGACGGTTAAAATGACATCAAGCTCAAAGCGGTCGGACCTTCCTTTGTGCCGTCAAGGGTACTGTCGGCATTGCGAATGTGACCTCTGACCTCCGTTTTGACCTTGTCGAAGGTCGCAGGGTCCCCATATTTTGCAAGGGGGTTCCACAGACGTTAAGCAACACACTCTGAAAGTTTCAGAATGCCAACTACATTTTTTCAATTTTTTTCATTTTCTGCCCCTCCCCCACCACAAGCCTGTCAGATGCTAAACTGCATTGTGTGAGAAAGTTTGTCATTTTATCAAAAAAAAGTTCTGTGTGGGTTAGGTTTCCCATATTTCAGATTCCTGATCTAGGCCCTATTTAGAGTCCCCCTGTCAAAAAAGTATCTCTTTAGCCCTTTTCAAAGTACTTTAAACACTCATGCAGCACTACAGCATCTCAAAAGGCCTTAACGGAAGGTTTTGTTACATTTTAAGCCATAACCTTTCACATTTTGTTGCACCAGAGGCATGAATCTGCATCTGCTCTCCGAGACGGTTAAAATGACATCAAGCTCAAAGCAGTCGGACCTTCCTAAGTGGCAAAAACAGTAGGTTATAGCATGCACAGGTGACCTTTGACCTTTGGAGCTTTGTTACATTTTAAGCCGTAACTTTTGACATTAGGAGCAGCAGAGGCATCAATCTGCATGTACTTTTCGAGCCGGTTCTAATGAGAGCAAGCTCAAAGCGGTCGGACCTTCCTTTGTGCCGTAAAGGGCACCGTGAAGCATGAAAATGTGACCTCTGACCACAGTTTTGACCTTGTTGAAGGTCGCAGGGTCCCCATATTTTGCAAGCGGGTTCCACAGACGTTAAGCAACACACTCTGAAAGTTTCAGAACGCCAACTACATTTTTTCAATTTTTTTCATTTTCCTCCCCTCCTCCACCACAAGGGTGTCAGATGCTAAACTGCATTGTGTGAGAAAGTTTGTCATTTTATCAAAAAAAAAGTTCTGTGTGGGTTAGGTTTCCCATATTTCAGATTCCAGATCTGAGCCCTATTTAGAGGCCCCCTGTGAAGAAATTATCTCTTTAGCCCTTTTCAAAGTACTTTAAACACTCATGCAGCACTACAGCATCTCAAAAGGCCTTAACGGAAGGTTTTGTTACATTTTAAGCCATAACCTTTCACATTTTGTTGCACCAGAGGCATGAATCTGCATCTGCTCTCCGAGACGGTTAAAATGACATCAAGCTCAAAGCAGTCGGACCTTCCTAAGTGGCAAAAACAGTAGGGTATAGCATGCACAGGTGACCTTTGACCTTTGGAGCTTTGTTACATTTTAAGCCGTAACTTTTGACATTAGGAGCAGCAGAGGCATCAATCTGCATGTACTTTTCGAGCCGGTTCTAATGAGAGCAAGCTCAAAGCGGTCGGACCTTCCTTTGTGCCGTCAAGGGTACTGTCGGCATTGCGAATGTGACCTCTGACCTCCGTTTTGACCTTGTCGAAGGTCGCAGGGTCCCCATATTTTGCAAGCGGGTTCCACAGACGTTAAGCAACACACTCTCAAAGTTTCAGAACGCCAACTACATTTTTTCAATTTTTTTCATTTTCTGCCCCTCCCCACCACAAGCCTGTCAGACCCATATTGGTTACAAGTACACAGTAAGTGAATACATGTGTTACTGTGTAATATGCGGAAAGTGGGCGCCCGTATTGGTTACAAGTAAACAGCAAGTGAATACATTACATTACATTACATTACTTGTTAGACGCTTTTATCCAAAGCGACTTACATACTCAATACTGTGGGCAATCCCCACAGGAGCGATTTGGGGTGAAGTGTCTTGCCCAGGGACACAACGACATGCTGACTGCAGTGGGGTTTGAACCTGTGACCCCCTGATCCCAACACCAACGCTCTATCCACTGCGCCACACGCCTCCGAATACATGTGTTACTGTGTAATATGCGGAAAGTGGGCGCCCGTATTGGTTACAAGTACACAGCAAGTGAATACATGTGTTAC